TAAATTTGGAGAATCCGTGCTTCTCACATGGACAACTGTATGTAACCAGCTCACGCGTCGAAAAACCTTCTGATTTATTCGTGTACGCACCAGACGGAAAAACAAACAATATCGTGTATCCACAAACACTCCAATAAATAAATAGAATTGAAACGACACTTTGAAATGTTTTCCCAATGAAAATAAATAATAATAATAAGTTTCAATAAAAATGATAAAATGTAAATTTAATTTTATCATAACGAGTTTGCTTGAATTTCCTTTCTTCTGAGATCGCAGCAATGCGCGACGGGTAAGCTAGTAGAATATAAAACTAGAAATGTAATAAATACTAAAACTGTCTGCAGACATAACATTAAAAATAAGTAAAATTTTTGTGATCTCATCTGATAATTGTTGTTTAAACTATTTACTAAAATTAGAATATATTCAATTTTAATTTAAAATTATTATTTTTTTAAAAAAATTTATATATCTTTAATCTTTAAATTAAAATATTCTTAGCACCATATGGTATCAATAATAAAAATTTATGTAGATCTAATTATATAGTTAGTTTAACACACTATAGTCTGCATGTCAAATCATCACAAATAATGAAATTTCTATAAAAACGCTTCTTGACTTTTATTTATTTATTATTATTCAAACATATACATTTTAATCACTGAAAGTAATACAAATACTATAATAAATATAAACAAGTAAAACAGCAAAACCGTATTTGGGACAAGACTATGTCTTGGAGACTCACTACTAAGCAGAATCACTTTGACGCTCAAGGCGAGTCTCGTTCTCATTCTCCATTCTTCTTTGGTTCACTGCTTTTGGGCTAGATTGTTCAAATTTCGCCAACCACAACCAAGAGGTCATCCATGATGCATTTCCGATGAAATTAACCTATCAAATTTCAAAATTTCTCTCCGTTGTGTGTTGGCCCAGGTTGAAATTTGTCGATGCATAACGAAAATTTCCTGTTTTTGAAAAAATTAATTGTGGCTATTGTATCGTCTGAAAGTATTTTTTAATTTTGCACAAAGAATATACAGTTTAACCCGATTATAACGTAACATAATTGGATGTAACAACAACCCTAATATAACATCAAATTTTTATCAGTCCCACGATTTTACTATACTAGATAATGTTATAAAAAACCCACTTGTAACGACACCCTGTTTTAATGTCATATTTGAAACACTCCCAAATTTACAAAATTAGATTACAAATTTTATTTAACATAGAAGAAACTACGTGTTCAGTCCTAAGGTCAGAGTTCACTTCTTAGAATGACTGTGGGTGGTACTCTCCCCCACCTGACTTTGGTGGGGTAAGGTGCCTGTTTTGCCTGTTTGTAGAAGAGGGTCACCATTTTGGATTTTATTTTGACTCGGTTCTTGTTCCCCTGACTACCTACAAGTCTGGGTTTTTTTATGCGCAAATGATTTGGGCACCTAATACTCTGTGCCAAATATCAACTCTTGACATGTACTGTACTCCTTCATACTTCTATGCTGGTAACAAAAAAACGGCAGTACAAGACATAGTCTTGTCAATAAACTGGAAATTCTCCCATCAAGCATGAGAAGATATTTTTTATGAGAAAGTAAAGAATGAAGAATTGAGAAGAGCTTCAAGTCAAGTTTGACATTGTAATGCTGTTTCTGTAGCCGTTGACAAAGCCATTCTTACTTGATTTTGCTCAAGTTGGACTCATGGCCTTCAGAGATCTCAGTTGTTCTTATTCTTTTAGATCTAGAATTTACCTGACCAATTTTATTCTTATGCCTTTCCCTAAGCAATTTTTTTCTGACAAAATAGTGAGTCTTTTTAATTCCACATTGATAAAACAAAGATGAATTGTATGTACAGTACATTAGTTAGATGAGTGATAACACTTTCTAAATAATGGGCTCATTACATTTGATTGGATAATAGAATGTCATGTGATCACTATGAAAGGATTTCTTTTTAAATTTGTTATAGAAGTGACATGATAGGGCTATCATTTTTTGAATTTTAAATTTAATGAAGTAAGTTTAAAATACACCATTTGCCAAAATACATAAAAATGCAACTTAAGGAAATTCCCTCATCAAGCATGAATGTCACTGCAACGTAAGTGTGATCACTGATCCAAAATCAATAAAACGTTTATCCTATAGCTAATATTTCTGCAAAATACATAGCCTATACTTTCTGTCAGAACATAAAACAAATATAACCAAAATTTTATCTGGATTGGACAAAGACTGCAGGAGTTATAAGAAATTCACACATACATACATACATACATACATACACAGACAATGGCTTTTATTAGTAATTATTATTGGGGAAAAAAGAGAGAATTGTATTTTGACATTTGAATAACTTCAATTTCATAGTATTCAATAATGATTGTAACGTTTCTCAGAAATTTTACCTTTGAAAATGATGATCAAGGAAATAAATTTTATTATAATTTCTTCTGTGTATAACTGAAAATGTATTGTTTTGAATTATCTTTGCAGAACTCTACAACTAAGTCTCTTTCTTCTATTATTTTAATATGTATTTCTTTTGATAAAACTAATTATAATTTCAAAATCACTAATTATAACAATTACATATTCATTTTTCATATTTAACATTGAAAATATTTATACATTTATTAATATGCAATTATAATGACTGTTTTACTCTAATATATCAGTTTTATTTTCTTTTATATTTATTTCAGTTATATGCTAAGTATATTTCTATTATATGGCAACAATTATTTTAATAAATATAAATAAAGCATTTTTACATCCTCAGCTTTTTAAAATAACTTGAGAAATTATATATTTTAAAAACTTTTCAGTTNAAATATTCAGAGAGAGTAGTGAATGTAATCATTAAAAGCTTTGAAGAATGAATAGCTGAATGATAATTTTGTAAAACTGGCAATAATTCTTGAACTTTTTCAGAAATTACTAGAAAAAAAAAATGTCATTAATACAACTGTTTTCAAATATTAATAATACTTTTAGTGGTAATGTTGATATTGAAATTGATGTTATGTTTAATAAAAATTTATCATTAATTTAAATAATAACTTTGAAATAATTATGACAAATTTTTTTAAACTCTGTAGCTAATATTTGTGTTTTAAATATCAATATCTTTATAAATTAAAAAGATAATTTAAAGTAGACATATTTTAAATTTTGCATAATTTGGCTGATTTTATTTAGGACATCTTATACAAGACATATTAAAAAGCTTTTTGCCTATATTATTTAACTATAAAAAAAACCACTTAGTTACTATAACTAATGAACAGGCTTAGTACACACACAGCCTATTTAATTAACTTAACCAAAATGCATTTTGGCCTTACTGACCCTTATCAATTGGATGACACACAAGAAACAGAACATATAGTGATAATTTTCAATATTACAATATATGTTAGTAGTACAATTATTACAAATCATTATATACATCTTATTAATCAGATTCTAAATTATCACTAGGACAGTAACACAACAATACCAAACAAGTCCAGTAAAATCTTTGTGAATAGTCCTCCTGTCTTGTTTATGGTTGTGGTCATTTTCAACCATATGTCATCCAAAGGGCCAGTAATTTCAATTAATTGTCTCATCACTACTATATTCAAACAAAACTTACTACTACACCTTATCTTGCAGCCAAAGTTTATTACTTCAAATGTTTTCGGTCATGTTAAATGACCTTTCTCAAGAAAAAGAAATCAAATAAAAGATAAAAACTGTAAAAATCGAACACTTAGTACAAACGAACAAGCTTTTCGAATGTTTTTGAACTAGCCTATAATCGTTGCAATTAATGACATCAGTTTTAACATTGCAACGGAATGTTAAAACTGACATTTCTTTTTCTTGAGAAAGGTCATTTAACATGACCGAAAACGTTTGAAGTTATAAACTTCGGCTACAAGATAAGGTGTAGTAGTAAGCTTTGTTTGTTATTAATAGTATGCAGTCTAGAACGAATTACTACTATATTCGTTGGGCTAATTTATTATTATTATTTATTATTACAAAGTATTCAAAAGGGGATGCTATCAAAGCAAGATAAGCCTTCTCCCAAGTAAATAAATTTTATCTTGGGACTTCTTTGTTAATATTAAAGGATTATCTTTTCATTGATCAGTCAAAAAATATTCATTATATACTCAAAAGTATTCAAATGCCAGTAACATTAATTTAATAAAAGAAATTAATACATTGACCCTTCTAAAAACTTTTAATAGGAAAATTATTTTATTGAAAAACTAGCAGGCAAGGTGCACAATCATGCTGTCAATTTACACATGAAATAGTTTGTATTAAATTTGTTTTATGGTGTAATGTGGGTTGTATTTGTTTTCATTAAAGTTAAATATTTATCAGTACAGCATATTTAGGAAACTGTCTAAATCAAAGGTTCTCAAACTTATTTCAACCACTGTCCACTTTGAGATTAATAAAAAATCTAGTGCCCCCATATTTTTTAACTTACCTTTCTACATTACCATCTGTTGCATATCTTAAAAACAGTTATTGCAAATATAATGTTTAAACATGCATTATTATATGAATAGGATAGATAGGGTGTGACCCATATCCTATTTCTGAGATCAAAGGATGTGTCAATGAGAAGAAATAAAACTCATATTTAATCACATTATTTTAAAATAATGGCATTGATTGGCTATGCACAAGATCAACAAATGATCACATTAATTTGAAAATTATTGTAAAAAATTAAGAAGTTAAATTTTAAAAGGTAAAATAGAATTGCACTGTAACAGAACTAGATTTGCAACTAGTATCATCATCTAGAACAGGAATCTTTTTCAATTCAAACTATAAACACAAAAGTAATTAGGAAAATATTTAATAAATATATATATAGTTTATATATATATAATAAATATTANTCTAAATATTGGTGAGAGAATTTTTGAAATCGGATGAGTAGTTTCGGAGATTACCTGCTGCAAACAAACTTACTTACTTACATACATACTTACAAACATTACCTTTATAATATTAGTATAGATGTACCGTATAAAAATGTAATTTCTTGTTGAAATAAAAATATGGTTTATTGATTTTGTAAAAATTATAAGTGCACTGACCTAATGGCTGAGGCAGTAAAAGCATCAGTCTTGGGAACTGATTCTTTTACTATCATTCTGGTGACCAGAATTTGAATTGGGCAGAGAACATCAGGAAGTTTTTGTGAACAGTCGTTTTTGGATATGTTAGAACCTGTCGCTTATCACTTTATGCATGATGGGCTTGAAAGAAAGGCCATTTTAATACTCACGATGAAGAGTCAAAAATGGAAAAAGACTATATAAAGGCTGTAAATTTGGATAAACATATTTAATGTTTATAAATCAACTGTAAAATTGTTACAACGATCATTAATTTAAACTAAGGAAAATAATCTGAAGTTCTAGAACTTAAAAATATGACTATTTAATAATGTAACTACAGTATTATCATTTTCAGGCATTATTTGAATTTATTTCATTTATTCATTATTCTTGAGATAACTGTTTATTATAAGCAATATATTGGAATTTAATAACAAGACATAATTTTATCTACTCATTGCTAAAATTTGCTTATAAGGACCAATCAAGTATTACAGCAGTTAGTTTATGATATCTGACGATTCCTAACGATGGGAGAAGAGCGAGTCTTTGATGATGTACTGTACTACAGTAGAACCTCGATTATCCGCCCCCGATCAACCGACCCCTCCGTTAACCGACCGTCCTAGTCGGCAAATTTCAAATGTCCGCTAGTGATGTGGCGCTACAATAGCGACGATTATTATTTTTAAAAATTTTTGTTAGGCTTAACATCGATGAAAATTCAACGCAAAATAGGTTAATAGCGATATACTAATATACTAATTACATGGGATNAAACATTTTTTTCTAAATTATTGTTTTCTTTCATCTCCGGCCCCAATAAAAAAATTATTTGTATGTATTTATATGCGAAATTATACCCCGACTTACGCGAATTCGACTTACGCGGTTACCGCTCGGTCCCACCTATCGCATAAGTTCGAGGTATTACTGTATACAAATAAATTGAAAAAATAAACGTATGTAATAAAATTTTACCTTCAATATGAAAGTTTCCTTCATCATCTTCAACTTCATGAAGAATTTCTAACATTGAATTGGCTGGAAAATGCCGAGCAAATGGTTGAAGTGATTTTCTTCGATAGAGAAATATTATTGCATAACCAGATTTTAAGAAATATCTTTAAAATTATTAAGAATAATTTTCAAAGGAAAACTTAATATAGCCAATTTATTTTCATAGCAAATGATAAATATATTTTTGTGAACTAATAAAATAGATTAATTTTCTGATTTTCATTTATAAACATACTTTTGTAGTGAAATATAAAATTAATTTAAAAACTTAAAAGAAAAAGGATACTCTGCTGATGCAGAACCTCGATTACCTGCACTGAAATTATCTACAAAACGAACTGTATTATGTTCTAAGGGCACCATTGTCCCACCACTCTAATATATAAAAACATTCATATTAAATATTTTGATAATTAAAAAAATTAAATAAAATTTATATATAATTATAATAATTATTATAATATAATTANAAATTCAATTCTGTAAACTTAACTTACCATATTAGGAGGTGGAATATAAAAATCTGAAACTGCAGCAGCTAAATATAATAGAGCATTTTTTTCCAGTTCCTGTAAACTTTCTGCAGCAATTTTTAAAATATGCAAATATTCAGAGAGAGTAGTGAATGTAATCATTAAAAGCTTTGAAGAATGAATAGCTGAATGATAATTTTGTAAAACTGGCAATAATTCTTGAACTTTTTCAGAAATTACTAGAAAAAAAAAATGTCATTAATACAACTGTTTTCAAATATTAATAATACTTTTAGTGGTAATGTTGATATTGAAATTGATGTTATGTTTAATAAAAATTTATCATTAATTTAAATAATAACTTTGAAATAATTATGACAAATTTTTAAAATTAACACACCTATATTGTGTTATTAAAATTTTTTTTACTTATATTGAATTATGTTCTACTCTATATGATTCTAGTGTTACAATACATTTCTATATTTTTTTCATTGAGAATTTAAAAATTTTAAGTATCAAATTGAAATATATTATAAAATAAAAATCATCACTTAAAAGACTTAATTCTTAAATAATTATAAAAGTTCCATTACATTCACTATATAAAAAAAAAATAAATATTACAGTATTTTTCTGTTATTATGAAATAGAAATAATTTCTGTTCATCAGAAATAATACCTTTAATATGAATTATATATTCATAAACCTCATTCAAATACATAGACAAAAATAAAACTAACAACAGAAAAGAACATAAAACAATTGTCATCTATATTGTTCACAACCTGATGATGGCCTGTGAATCAGGCTGAAAATGTTTGTTTTTATGAAATAAATATTTTCTCGTCAAGGATAAGGTGTTATTTGTATGTTATGTTTTGTGGTTTGCTGAGTACTTTCTAATATATGTTAGGCTCAAAGACCGAAATCACTCATTGAGAGAAAAAAAACAACCACAATGCATTGTGGTGATTAAGAAAAGCCATAACACGTTTTGAACTTTAGTTGATGCAACTATGATAGAGGATGATCCGATGTGAATTTAACCTAACCTATTAACAAAATTAGTAACAAAAACCTAGTAACAAAATTATTCACCACATACAGAAATATAACTTTTCAACAACATGTAATGATTTGTGAAAATCTGTTGCAGTGCTCAAATGTCAACATTTTCTAACAACTAATTTACTAAAAATAATTAATTTGTCAGGAACTTTTATTATAAATCAGTCTTTTTTATGAGAATCAAGAATGTTGCAGAGTTATTTATTTTTACAAGAACTATTACCACGACATTTTGAGTTGCATTTTATGTTCTTTTAGTGACATTTGCATTTTTTTATCAATACAGTATCTTTTACAGTGACACATTATAAACCCTTGCTTACTTTCAGATGTTAACGTGGATGCTGAGCGAAGTGTTAATGAGGTTGTGGATATGTCTGAATGTTATTAAACTTACTCTCAGAAATTGTAAATACATTACAAGCATAAAATCAATCAAGAAGACCTTTGTTTTCTAACTGATAAAGACCTGATGGATTAATGCTCATAACAACAGCTAAAACATTTCTGCGAGCTGCATGTCCCTGATCAACATCAGACACCCTAACTAAAACATTCAAACCAATTTCAACCTGTCCGAAGTATTGTGGTTGCATCAGCTAACATTCAGAACATGTTATGGCTTTTCTTAATCACCACAACGCTATGCATTGTGGTGATTAAGTGGTTAAATATCCAAAAGCCACAAGGTGAATTTTGCTTCGTGGCCATTTTGAATTAGCCACAATTTTTGTGGTTGTTTTTTTCGCTCAATGAGCAATTTCGGTCTTTGAGCCTAACATATATATAAAATAAATATATTCANAATGGATTTTTTCATACTTTTCGGTTATCCGACTTTTCAATTATCCGACCAACCCCAGTCCCCAATTAGGGCGGATAATCGAGGTTCTACTGTATAAGATTGCATCCATCCATGGCAATCTAGAATAGATGCGGTTAGTTATGGGTCGGAAACGTTCTACATCGAGTATTAAGACAGTTTGCGTTTATTTTGTACTCATGAATACGGTTTTTCACGCAACAGTGAACTTTACAGGATTTGAACTTCAACTAAATGAAAGTGTTCGACGATTTTTAGGAACAAAGAAATTATTTTTGAGTATTTTAAATGTATAGAGATATTTTAACGATTTATATTTTTATTAGACTTCATAATTATTGTTTTTATTAGTAACTAGCAGATATTTTTTGGCTGGGAAATACCGAACATAAGAAGAAGAAACGTTAAAATGAAAACCATGCAGTTGTGAGAGTGTATAACGTGAGAACGAATCGACACGTAAACTTAAGTGCTTCTACGAAGGGAGAGTTTAGAACGAGCGTGCTTGGTGGAGCAGACGCTGATCAGGGGGAATCCACTGAACTCAATAGGGACTAGACACAGACAACTATCCAATTCTACAAAATATTCCTTTAATATTCCTGGGAGCATACAGTACTCCTAAAACAAAGATAAGACACAGGAACATATGGAATCCGACAAATCTAGTATACCGCATAACGTTAACATAAAATCTCCCGACAATATACTGCTCAAACACACGTAACATGAAGACAAAACCATACCGACAAAAAGGGGTTTTGGCATATCCTTTCCTCTTCTTCACTCTGGGTAGAAACAGTTCCAAATTCTGAAATCTCACACGGACTTGGTTGCAGTCTACTTTTCCCACGCACTTTCACCACCACTATTTCTTTCTTCCCCGTCCTCTCTCCATTTCCGTTCTGACTTCTCCTCGAGACACACCCTACCATAAAACTCCCACTCACGGTTACACACCCCAGTATTACACAACTACTCTCCACCGAGTCGGACCCATCATGTCGCGAAGGGGGGGGCAAGAAAAGGCGTAAGGAACAAAGTATTCCCAACCGTGGCGACTTGTCGCCACAATAACGACTTTTAGAGGGACGTAGCGGCGACTGCAAACAAATCAGCTAAAAATAGTGACTTTTGAAATTTGTTTTTATTTTTTATTTTTGAGAAATATAAATTTATTTTTATAGTTTTCAAATTTACAGACTTTTCTCTACTTTAGTCGTTGCCAGAGAGCGCTATAATATTATTACGATAGACACGACTACTCCAATCCACTCCCCACACACCCACTTCTGGCCAGAGGGCAACGACTGGACGTATGACGATCTTGTTAATCGCCTCCAAATCCGCCCTGTGACCTATTCCACAGGGACCCATAATGTCCGTCCCAGTCAACCTTGGTGGACCAGCGAGTGTAGGAGAAAGTTGGCCCGCAAACGCCACTTATACTACAAATTCACCAGAAATGTTAACGTGACGAACTGGACGACTTACAAGCATGCCAAAGCTGCACTCCAACAAACCATTCTCGAGAGCAAGCGCGACTACTGGAAGCGCATGGCCAACACCCACCATTACAAAATCAACGTCTGGAAAATAATCCGCCAGCTTCGCACGACCTCCGCCTCCCCACCAACTCACTTCGTCCTCAACATCAACGGAGACAACATTACAGATTCATTCAGCCAAGCTGAAGCATTCGCACATCACTTTATTCCGCACTCGATCGACATCACCCTGGACATCCGCCTCCCCCAATCGACAACGCCCCGACTGGCCAGATCGATTACAACTCGCCTTTCTCCATCCAGAAGTTGAATGTGGCCATACGAAAGGGAAGAAACACAATCCCTGGTACAGACGGCATCCCCATGTCTGCCTTACATAAGGCCTGCCAGCTGAACAGAACACGTCTCCTAACTTTCTTCAATCATATCTGGACCAACGGTAAAATCCCCCATGAAGAAACATCTATCAACATGAAGAAAACCACTATCATTCCCATCAGCAAACCAAGAAAGGATCCGACAAATGTTGCGAACTACCGACCCATCGCCCTCACGTCTACAATCTGCAAGACCCTGGTGAGAATGATCCTCCAACGTTGGACCTGTCTTGCCATCATCAAAAAATGGTTTAACCACAAACACCTTGGTGGCCTTCCTGGCAAGGGCACAAGAGACCTCCTCACCCATCTCATGACCCGCATCCACAATCTGCGTAATACCAACCATCGTCTGAACATCATCTCCCTAGACATTTGCCACGCCTACGACTCCGTCAAACACCACCTCCTCCAAAAAGCCATACAGAAAGGCCTCAAAGGCAACTCTCTCATGGCTCCAAGACTTCCTCTCCAATAGACTCAACATAGTGAAATGGAGAGGCCTCTCGTCTTCTCAGCATGTTCTCTGTAAAGGCATCCCACAAGGCAGCGTCATTTCCCCTTCATCTTCTCCTTATTCATGCATGACGTCTTCCGGCTGGAAAACCCACACACCCACATCTACGTCTACGCAGATGATATCATAGCCATCATCCTCGCCAACACCCCTGCCGATCTACAGTACCATACCAAGAGATTCCTCACCTCCTTCGCGGATTGGACCGATCACAATGCTATTGCCTGCCAACCTCAGAAGAGCGCCATCCTCCCTAACCCTTACAACACTCAGTACACCCAGAATCTCTCCATTCAAGGTCAAACTCTCCTCGTTGTCTGCAGACTCAACCTCCTCGGCATCCACATCACCTCTACACTTTCCTGGTCTGCTCACATCCATCACATCCGTAACAAATGCAATCGCCTCCTTAACTTCTTCAAGATTTTCTGCAGCAAGAAACACGGTGTCTCCCCCAAAGATCTCATCATCATAGCCGACAGTATCATCGGTAGCATTTTAACCTACACAATCCCTGGCATCGCATCCCTCACGCCCACCCATTACAAAATCCTCGACTCCATCCAGACTCAGTACCTCAAACTTTGCCTGGGTCTTCCCTCTACAACCAACAATAGTGTTACCCTCCGAGCAGCCAAAAGGACCACGATCGAACTGCGCTTCCAAAAGATCATCATTAACCAGTATAGCACGTACTGTACCTAAAAAAAACGAACGACGACCGTCTCTTCCACGAGATTCTTCACCATCACCCAGACGGTGCTGCCCTGGTCAAGCTTCCGCTCAATCATTTCACCCGCAACTGGATCTCCCATCCCCGCCACAACATCACCATCTCTCCCGACAACCTCCCCTTGCACAACTCCGCCCTCACATCCTCCACCATATATCTCTCGACGACTATGACTTCCAGTGCACAAACAACCCTAACGACAGCATCCGTCTGTTGTTTGGGATCTGGCACCGCCAGCAGCCTTCCCACACCTTCATTGCCACCGACGGGTCCAAATCGTCCCACAGAGTCTCAGTGCGTACGTCGACGACACTCACAACATTACTGCCCACTACACCCTCCATCCCGATTCTTCCATCTTCACAGCCGAGGGCTACGCCATCCTGCAGGCAATCTCTTATGCCTCTACTACCTCCTGTGACAATGCTGTCATCTGCACTGACTCCAAATCGATTCTCACTGCCTTGGCTAACTATAAGTCAACTCCCCTACCGTCATTCATAGCATTCACGAACGCCTCCACGCCCACTACTGCCAAGGCAAACACCTACACCTCGTTTGGACTCCGGCCCACCTAGCCATCGATATCAACGAAAAAGCCGACGCCCTCACCAAAAGTAAGCGGCAACTTCTATTAATTCCAACTTCATCACACCTGAAGACCTCCATGGGGTTCTGCTCCTCGACCACCAGCAGATCATGGAAAACGTCTGGAACAACTATCATAACCACTCCAATTACCCTTGGCTTCACGACTACTCCCACATCACCATACCCTCATCGATCGAAGCATAAACGTCCTTGTTAATCGCGCCAGGACTAACTCGCTACTTATCAACCACTTTCTCTTCACCCGGAAAATCCAAAAAAACTGATAAATGCAGCACATGTCCCGACCAAATCGACACATCCTTGCACCGCCTCGACTACTGCCCCAATTTTGACAATATCCGGAAAAAAATTCTAAATGGCTATCCTATCATCACACCAAATAATGCCAAGATCTCCAATTACCTTAACCTCTCTCCTCCCACCACCTGTCAGGAGGCCTTGATCACCTACTTTAATTAAAGAGTACTCCAAAATGTTCCGCTACTAGCGGGCGCCACCTCCGCTACCAACAATAACCACCTACTAGTTATTGCCTGTCCTCACCGCTAGAAGACAGCCAACCAACAAATTAACGTCGACGGGACTCTAAAGTCTTACAGCAGGCGTCCAACTTCCCACATTAAGAAGAAGAAGACAAAACTATATTTCTACATTTTTCTACAGTGCGCAGAGCTAAAAATCTGTAAAAGTAACATTTTGTAACAAAAATAAATCTGCCCGGGAAATTTTTCAAATTGCTAAATTGAAAACGTGGTAACTCCCACATAAAATCTTAGTCCCGAGGTTATAATAGGTGTGCAGTAATTCTATGATTCTAAGAACATTTTTAAAAAATTAACAAAACTATGTACTGTATTCATTTAAAATAAGAGAGGCTGACATTGACAAACAGTCGTTGGAAGACGAAAGCGACTCTGATTGAGGTCTGTTTTAAAACCTATTATTTTTTTCGTTTTTCTATTTTTGTTATATATGTATTATAATTATACTGTACATCGTTCGTGTCGTAAACAATTTTGTTAATTGTTTTTAACACTACTATTATGTGTACAACTTTTCTTGTATTGTATCAATAAATTTGTTTTGTAATAGTCTTTCGACGATTTGAAAATTTGCTGTTTATTGAGTAGCGACAAAGTAGCGACTTTTCAAAATATGTGACGAAATCAGCGACTTTTATTTTTAAATGTAGCGACATTTATTTACGAAAAGTTGGGAACACTGAAACTATGTTAAAAGTTTGGGTATTTTAGCCTGCCATTGTCACGTTTATCATCACGAACTACAAACCGGGAAGAGTAGGATATCCGAGTTTCATGAAAATCTATATTCTCCTCACGACGTCTGCAATGAAAATAATAATAATAAATAAAATAAAATCCGAACTCTCGGAGGGTGGGTTTGTCCATCCATGTGTTCCCGAAACATGTTGAATCGCGAAGTTGCGAATTGTTTCTCATAAGTTTTGACACCGAAAGTGAAANTTTTTACCATTTTTTACGGATACCGTCGCAATTTTTTCGCTGTCTTATAGGAATTGTAATTATAGGAACCCGTTTTATAGGAGGGTCTACTGTATTATTAAAATTCCAATAGTTTTCATTTACATTAACATAAAAAAAATAGTTTAATATCATGGTTCACTATCGTTCACCTTGATCAACACTCTGCAATCATACTTCGATACTTGCTATTGCTCGCATCTCGGCACCCGGGTGGGAGCAAGCTCTCACATCCCCTAAAACTATATAACATCAAGTATTCCATGGATGGTCAAACGTGCTCCTCAAAACCGGCTTAGTTGTGTGGGCTAAATAGTTAAGCACAATAGTCTTAGCAGAGCAATGCAACTCGCGATTGTGCACAACCTGATTTTGGGGGCCAACTCTCGCAAAAGGGTCCATGTAGAGGTATGGACTTTTGATTTTTTTGCTTTTACAGGTATGGTCTACACCCCGATAAGAGTGTTGTAGACCATACCTGTAGGAGCAAAAAAGCATCTCAATCAGAGGTGTAATTATACCCAACGGACAAGTAAACATAGCTGGAAAATATTTTATTATAATAACATCACCCCTAAACAACTACCAACTCATTTGCTATCAGTCTTGGATACTACTGAATATATTATTTGAAGCGTAAAGAAAATTATTACATATTACGGGTCTGATAACACACACACATTGCAAATTAATTGAAATTTCATTTGTCATACTTATTATATTTATTTGACTATTGTTACCAAAAGATTTTATAATTAACAGTTGAAAATTCTGATAAACTTGGATCGGCAATTAGGACACTGTAACTGCGGCATATACGGCCAGCAGTTTTTTTAATCAATTACGAAGTTACTACGATAATATTCAGATAAAACTTACGGTTATTAGGGCAATTTTTCGTTTTTCTGATGAATGTATCTTGCAAAATGCGCATATTTTTGACTTAATTAAAGGTAATTCATCGGGCGAAGGATTAAGGCGATAAAAGTCTTCCCACCTGCTCTCTGCCATGTTAAGTTCTGTACGTTCTGTACGTTTGACGTAATATTTCTCTACTTGACCCCCTGGTGATGAACGAGGAAACTTATTGTCGAGAAGGCAAAGCGGAAGATTTATTGTTCTAATTGTTTTCTTGTTCTTATATTTAGAGGTTTGAGAAATTGAAGCGAATATTTCAACTTTATTACGATGAGTGCTCTCGATTTAGAATCGTACCGTCAGCCTTGGGAAAGCGATGAACATTGGATTATACGTAAGAAATTTTTAACTTGTCACTGGGACAGCTTCGAAGAGGATCGACTTCTTTGTTTGGCTCAAGTTTTTGTTAATATTGAATTTTTGGGTTGTACTTATTCCAAAGAAGTTATGAAATGCGTCTTAGATTTGGCCAGACACGACGACATTGTGGAAGCGGTACAAAAAGTTCGTCGGATCAGATCACAATGACGTTATGAAAACGAGGAAATATGCGAAAGTTGTTGTTTTTGAGATTCGTGTCACGTGTTTTTTGTTTAATTCTGACATTATAATGCAGTAATTTAAGGAAAACTTAAATAAACTTTTCATTCACTTTCCTCCAATTATTTTGCCTTTGTAAACTGATTTTCTTTAAAATGTATTGTATTCCAGGAAATTATTTTAAAATAGTTAGCACTCGGAACATCTTATTTTTACTGAGAAAATGTTTATCAGCAAAAATAAGGTGCTTGAGTGTTAACTATTTTCCTGATGAGGGTGATTTTGGCTATTTGAACTCGGTATTAATTCTATCAAGTGTTTTACTTATTTAAAATAATATAATCTCAAAATTTATTTTATATTTTCATTAATTGCTGAATAATTAGAAATATATAAAGTGAAATTAACCACAGTTTAAGAAATTACTGTGTGAATAGTGAAAAAGTTTTGTAGACAGTGATTTCCAATGAATATTAATTTGATACTTTTTTAAACAAGTCTGCTAACAAAACAAATTGCATATAAAATAATTTGAAACAGAATAATACATTCAAATAAAAACAAATTTTTATTTATTCATATGTGTACAGATTTAAATAAATATGTATAAAAATTAAAATACATTTAAATAGTTTGAATATTTCATAATATATTATCTCCTTATAATGTTTATAAACAATTTTGATCAAACAATTGACTTTCTATAGAATTATATTAATGTGATTACTAAAAATTAACAATTTTTTAATGATTATATTTGAACATTACTTTTGATATATTAGAAACTAAATTATCTTATGAATGAACATTGTTTGTTAAAGTTTTTTGCTCGGCTGCTCGGAAAACTGTCTTCCTGAAATCATCAGAAGTTCAAATCAAGAAAACATTCTCTAGTCTCAAGAACTTTTCCAAGAAAATATCTCTAAAATTTTAATGTTTCAAATGGCATTGATTTAGTATACTTTTATTGCTGTGCTATATAGAAAAATGCTTAAATAAATATCCAAGAGTAAAATATTGAAATTTAAATTGGTGAATTGCTTTTTGTCCGTATGTTACAATATGAAACTATGAGCATTAGTGTGTGATAAGTCTTCCACACAGCCAAACCTTAGTGCTCATAGTTTCATATTGAAATTTAAGTTCTTTAGGATGAAAAGAATTTCTGAAATGAATTAGTTTTAACTTGTAGTTTCAATTAATTCAGTAAATTATATCTAACTAGTAATTTTTCCACTCAATAATGATTTTCCTACAACACATTAAATCATCATTAAAGACTTCAATTTCCAATTTTATAATTTCTTATTAAATTTGATATTAAATTAATACACTTTCTTTATGCTATCATATCCTCTTGTAATTAATGAACCTAAAATTAAAGAATTATTGACTCATAATAATGAATTATATAAAACACTGTTATTTTTAATCAACTGAGAGTCTGATGGAAGAATGAAGATAGCATACAAATTTGAACAATGCAGCAGTTTTTCTCATTGTATGGAATTATTATAAGAAAAATAAAAATTTAATCATCATCTGACAATCATTTTATATTAAAAATGTTCATTGGATAATTTTGTTAGCCTTAATGCTGTTTACAGATTGTATTATTCATATTAATGACAATTATTCATATTAATGACAAGATTGTATTATTCATATTAATGATGGAAATATGTTCAAGATTTTCATTGTTTTTATGCTCTGCAAAATACTTCATACAATTTCACAATATAAATAGGTGATGCAGCCTTCTCTCTAAAGAGATTTGAAAAATGATATTTAATAATAATGATAATGGATAAATAAGTATTTAGGTATTAGATTATTGGATGCAGAGAATAAGAAAGCATTAGGAATTTTGTAAATGGAGTATATCTCTGAATATCATTTCTTTGAAGTAAATAACCAACTTAACCAGTTGTAACACATCTAAGATATGAAAGCCTAACTAAGATATTATTTATGAAATTGAATGACAATAATAATTATAAAAATTGACATTAGCATAGAAATGTTCTAATAATGTATAACATAAAAAATGAAAGAGAAATTTGAATATATGATTTAATATATGATATGATGTCTCGGGCTTGGGGCTTAATTAATTAATATACCAGTAAAGCTTAAATTCCTATATAGTAGTAGTAACCATAGTAATATTAAAATATTTAAAACATTTATAAATTGTTCATATGCATTCTGTAATATGTGACATCTACATATTATTAAAGATATTTCTATGAAAAGTTAATCTTTTTCAATATTTAGATATGTATNCCTAACATATATATAAAATAAATATATTCAATACACTTCTAATAAAATCTATACATTTCTAAATTCAACATTTAAATCACCAGTGAGTTCTCCATTGAGCAATCAGATGTGACGTTTGTAAGAAAAAAAATGTGTAAGTTCGCCGACTTCCAGGGGGAATCGTTAAGCCCGCGTCAGGATGATCTAGGGTCATTCACGTGTGGATGTGGCGGAGGAGACACAGATGACAAGAATCGCACAAAAACCCGTTTATTTTAAACGTAAAATAACTTACACAATGAAGCAAAAATGTTCTTTAAACAACTGGATGTTCAAATTGTCGAGGGTGTTTTCTAATATTGCTCAAAGGTAGGCCCCGGGGCAGCGGCAGGTGTGGAGATTCATCAGTCGGTGTTGGCGGTCTGAGTCCGTAGTCACAGGTTACAAGTTGGGCACAACAGATAGAAAACTGCTTTTGCGTGTTGACTAACCGTGTGCAGGTGCACAGTTGCACAGTTTATGGAAAAAGAGTCTGTCCTTGAAGATCGGAGATTATATCAATCTCCGTTCTCCAATTTGTTTATTCTGATTGGCTCCATGTCCCTTTTTCTCACTCTCCGAATGGTCCCTCGACTTTCTCTAAGTGAAAGACGATTCCTGTTTGCGTCACGAGAAAGATCTGCTTCGAAGAATCTACTTGACACCAGCTGTTAACTCTGGATGGAAAGTGCTGATGGAACTTTGGAACCAGTGCTCACATTTTTCCATTGTTGTCTAGTCTGTGGCATTTTTGAAATTTAACGATTTTACGCGATGTCTCTTTTCATCATTAACCTTTCCCCTTTCTAAAATTTCTATGTTCTAATTATTTGTACACGAGTGACTTGTCAAAGGTCCATCTCTACTGGAGGACGTTCATTTACAATTATTAATCATTTATAATTATTGCATTCTGTTTACATCAATAGCATTTTTTCTCATTGCAGTTTCATATGACTAGCACGACTAATCCTATCTTCGATCAATTTTTAACAATGGATGATTTTTTTTATAGTTTCGTTTTAATAAATTTCTAATAATAAATGTTTAATTTCAACCTGTTTTTGGGACCTCACAAATGCTTGCATAATTGTGCAATTACCAGGGCTGTGAAGTCGTGTAAAAATCTACTGACTCCAACTCCAACTTTTCCTTACCATCTGACTCTGACTCCGACCAGGGGCGGATTTGTTACCGAAAGAAACCCAGAAATTTTGATGTTATCACGTGACCTCAGAATAAAAGATTCAATAAATAGAGTTCTAATAAATATAGAGCGTAGAAACTTTTTATTCCAAAGCTAAAAGACTTCTCTAAGTAATATATAAATATGTATTCGATAATTTTTACTTTTCCGGCTTTTATATATAACAGAGGAAAAGTGTAGCGCTCACTCAAGAAATGACCCCTCCCAAATTTTTACAATTTTGGACTCAGGACACCTTGAAATTTCGTGATATGCAAAAGATTCGAGTTTTTCTTATATGTGTGGATGTTAGACTGCGTGGGGGGCATGATTTTGTTCACCCTGTTTGAAGCCTAATAATTTCTGTGGTCAGAGTGGTCAGAATCGAAGTCAGATGGTTTAACACAGGAGTTAGTTATTAAGCATTAAAGTGGTTGAACTAAATCGTGTCCCCATATACATTCTGACATCTTAGGCGAGAGCATCTTAATGGGTTTTACTGTACTATTATAAAATGGCTAAAAAGCTTACCTTGAGAGTAGAGATGAGTTTTATTTTATTTTTTTCTAATTTTGAATGCTAATAACGAGTAAAATATTCATTAAGAGATATGACATATGACCACTTTTAGGTCTTCATCCTGTCGACCTTTAATTAAGAACCAAAATTTAATAGTATTAATGCCCCTTTATACGCAAGCTACAGTGCCACATTTCGTTTCTTAAACTTTACTCATTCTGAGATATTGTTTAATATCTCAGAACAGAAAATAAAGAAATTAAACAAATTAGATGCCAACACACACNTTAAGAACCAAAATTTAATAGTATTAATGCCCCTTTATACGCAAGCTACAGTGCCACATTTCGTTTCTTAAACTTTACTCATTCTGAGATATTGTTTAATATCTCAGAACAGAAAATAAAGAAATTAAACAAATTAGATGCCAACACACACGCGCGCGAATTTTCCCCTTTACTGACTTTTTTGAGGGGTTTGGGAGGTCTCCAAACGTGTAGATTTGCAAAAAAAACTTGGAGGGTCAACTTTGACACAATTCCAATACTTTTCCGTTTTATATACATAACAAGTTGGTAAGTAAAAAGGAGTCGGAGTCGGCAGATTTTTTGACGACTCTGACTCCGGCTAAAACACCAAAACTCCACGACTCCAATTCCACAGCCCTGGCAATTATACATTTTATCATAAACATATCTTTCATTAATCTGTCTGTATTACAGTG